ACAGCAATAAAAATAGGTCCTTGTACTAAGGATATAAGAATTGGTAAAAAGCAAAAGTTAGGATTGCTAAAATTGCAAAAAATCTTCCTTTTTAAGAAATACTTTCTTTTTAATATTTAAGTATTTGATTAAAGGGTAGGTAAGAACTACAAAAAAACCACCTTATGATCACCTTGTAAAATTTACTTTTATAGAAATTCCACAAATTGAACAACATTTTATAATTGGAAGATGTGAAGGTATTTTTTTCCACCTTCTAGTATATTGATTGTTTGAAGAATTGTGAAATATTTTTCTTTCAGAGTATCCATTTAGGTTTCATTTCACTAGTTGTATTTCAGGGTAATATGTTGGATTCTGGCAGTCTTTTTAAGACTGATAAAATGTTGGAACTTAAAGATATGTCAGAGGTAAGCCTCATTTTCTATATGTAAAAAAAAATGTGACTGGTGGAATAAGTCAACAATTTTAAAGGGAAGAGACAACAGTTCTAAATTTTATGTACCTGTTAATAGAGTGTCAAAATATATGTAGCAAACAATGATAGAACTATAAGGAAAAAAATAAATAAATTCACAATTACAGTTAGAGATTTCAACATTCCTTTTTCAGTACGTAATAGAACAGTAGGCAGAAAATCACTAAACACTATAGAAGACTTGACCAACACTATCAGCCAGCTTGACCTGACATTTATAGGACACTCCACCCAACAACAGCTGATCACACACACTCAAGTGCACATCAAACATTCTCCAAAACAGACTACATTCTGGGCGATAAAACAAATCTCAATAAGTTTACGACGATTGAAATTATACAAAGTATGTTGTCTAACCATGATGGAATGAAACTAGAAATCAATAACAGAAAGATATCTGGACAATTCTCAAATATTTAGAAACTAAATAACATACTTCTAAATAACCCATGGGTGGGTCAAAGCAGAACTCATAAAGAAAATTAGAAAATATTTTAATACTATGAAAATAAAAGTGCTGTTTATTAAAACTTATCAGATTCAGATAGCGTTCAGAGGGAAATTTATTACATTAAATTATATATTACAAAAGAAGAAAAGTCTCAAATAGATAATATAAGTATCCACCTTAAGAAGACACTAGAAAGTTGCCCTGGCTGGTGTGGCTCAGTGGATTGAGTGCTGGCCTGCGAACCAAAGGGTCACTGGTTCAATTCCCAGTCTAGGACACGGGCCTGGGGTGCAGGTCAGGTTCCTGGTAGGGCGTGTGTGAGGGACAAGCACACACTGCTGTTTCTCTCCCTGTCTTTCTACCCCCCTGACCTCTGTCTAAAAATAAATAAATAAAGTCTTTGAAAACAACAAAAAAAGACACTAGAAAGTTAAGAGCAAATCAAGCCTAATTTAAGTAAAAAGAAGAAAATATTAAAGAGCAGAGATCAATGGAATAGAAATTATAAAAATAGGGAAATAAATCAAAACCAGAATTTTTGAAAAGATCAGTAATATTAAAAAGCTCTATCAAGATTAGGAAAAGAGAGAGAAGATACAAATTTTCAATGAAGGGATGAAAAGATATTACTAGAATTTCTACAGACATTAAAGGGATAATTAGGAAATACATATGAACATCTCTGCTGATAAATTTGATAACTTAGATGAGATGGATACAAATAAACAGCCTAAAAATGTGCCACCTGGTAACTCTACTTCCAGGAACACATTCTGAGATAATAAATTTAAAATATAGACAAGGCTTTATGCACCAGAATGTTTATCAAGTGATTGTTTATAATAGAAAAAAAGTGAAATCAACCTTAAATTTCCATCAATAGGAGATTAGTAAAATAAAACTATGGTTAACCATAATGATGATAATGATAACAGAAAATTTCCATATATAATGTTATATCAAAAAAGAAAAAAACAAAATTGTCAACAAATGGTGATCTCAATTTATAAAGATATTTATAAATGAGTACTAGAAAAAATTTACCCTTAAATTAGCCTAATAACAGGTTTATTTTTAATTTGTTGTATTATTTACTTTCTTCTAAATTTTGTCTGTATTTTCCAAATTTGCTAAAAATGAAATATCAATGCCATATTTCAACTGTCATCTGTCAAGAAACTGGTTTTATAATTAAAACTGTAAGTTCTTTTTCTGTGAACAGAAAAGTTATAACCTGTGCTTGCAATCCAGGTGATTTTGCTTTAGAAATTTAAAACCATGCTTTTTGGGGAAAATGAGTAGGGTTTTACATCTTTGGGTGGCTGTCTTTGCCCCGTCTGCTTCCTGCAACTCACACCTGCATGTCCCACCGCCTTTCTCAGTCCATGTGTCAGTGGGCAAAATGTGAGTGTGTTTGTGTGCCCTTAAGTTTTCCTCTCTCTTCTTGGCTCATAATCGTTAAAGGACCTTTTACCAGGAACACCATTTCTTATGCTTTTCTCTTCCATGCTTCACATAAAAACCATGATTAGAGATTGCGAGCATTGGTTGGTAACGTAACTCTCCTTTCATCTGTGCACCTTCCAGCTCCACCTTGGCCGTTGGCACTTCACATCCGAACGGTGATAGCCAGGCCCACTGCCCTGCCCCCAGTTGCCCAGGGCCAGCTCCTTCTACAGTCCCTGGGACACAGTGTATATCCCCTCCTTTCCAAAAGTCCTGTAGAGGATGACTTCTGGTTGCTTATGAAATCCCCATAAATCACTTGGTTAAAAACCTCAGGGTCTTCTTAAATAGACTCAAACTCCCTTTTCAGTACATGAAGGGTAATTAATGATCTTAAACCATATGAGGGCAGAGTTAAATGGGCTTTTTACAAATGTATATAAACATGTGCTTTTTGGTCTTTCTTTTGCATTTGCGTAATACAAAACAAACAAGCAAACAAAATATAACCAGAGACACTGAAATAAAGAACAAACTGACAATACCCAGAGGGAAGGGGGGAAGGGGCTAATGGGAGAAAGAAGGGGAAGGATCGTCAAGGAACATGTATAAAGGACCCATGGACCAAGCCAAAGTGGGGTAGGATCGAGGGTGGGAGGTGGGGGTAGGAGGGGCAGGGGGAAGTGGTGGGGAGAAAATGGAGACCACTGTACTTGAAGAATAGTAAAAATAAATAAAGTATAAGCTCACAAAAAATATATATAAACTTGGTACTTGGTGTGGAGAGCAACACCTAAATCAGCAGCTTGTCCTGTTGCACAAGGATCTGCTGGACATGGTGGTCATGTTTGAGGAATCCGTTTGGGCCCCTGGCCCGCATTTGTTTCACCTAGACTTTCCAGCAGTATTCTTTTGTTTTTTTTTTAAATTTTATTTAGTTATTTTTCAAGTACAGTTTTCTGTCAGTTTCTCCCATCCCAGCCCACCCTGCCCCATGCTCCCCACCTCCCTCCCATTTCCACCTCCCCTTAGTTATTGTCCCTGTGTCCTTTATACTTGCTCCTCTAAATCCTTCCCTTTTTTTTCCCCTTTAATTCCCTCCCCTCTCCCCTTTCCCTCGATTGCAGTCTGTTAGCTGCTATTCCCATGTCAGCGCTTCTGCCATCCAGGCTATTCTCCACCGAGACCAGAGGGATCTTTGAGAAATATAAATCAAAGCACGTCATTCCTCTCCCTAAAACCCCCAACTTTCAGATTTATGTAAGAATAAAAGTCCCAAGTCCAAACTTCACCTCCGTATCTCATTGTAACCTCTTTCCCCAGGTCAGTCTTCCATGGAAGTCTCCCGCCTTCAGCTTTTCAAACCCACCACTCTTTCTGACCTCAGTACCTTCACATGTGTCTGGATCGTCATTCCCTGACCTCTGTCTCCTGCTCCCCTTACTTCCAACTTTCCCACCATCCACCCATAAGTTTTCACCTGGCTGATTTATCCATTTATACTGAGCGTTCAAATATGGCTTTAAATATCACCTCCCAGAGGGGCCTTCTGGACCACAAATCTGAATTTAGTTGCCACTATTTTCTATTCTTCTTCTCATAGCACTTAGAGTTTTTCACTTTATTGTTATTTATTTTATACGTTTAATGCCATTCTTTTCTGCATGCTGGAAGATTTCATGGCCATATACCTCAATGTTTTGTTTATTGTTTGACCAGCACATAGTAGGTATCCAAGAAATTACTGTTGAATGAATGAATAAATGAGTAAAAGAAAAAAATAAATTGTGTAAATAATTAGAAAACATTCAAGAGAAAAAAGTTGCAACTTTACTGTCACAAAAAGTTTATTAAAGTATCTAATTTTAATCATATTAGTAAAATTATTTGAAGTTATAATTCTAATTTTTAGCTAAGATTTGGGGAAGAGGACACATTCGTGTAATCCATGAGGAAAGGCACCTTTTCTGTGTTCATTTCTGTTTATATATTAAATATTTATTGAATGAGTAAGAGAATTAATGTAATCATGGGAAGCAGTCTAGCTCAATATATTTAAAACATCAAATTGTTTTTATTGACCCAGATTTCCACCTAAGAATTTGTCACAAGGACTAGTCCTAAATATGGAAAAGGTTATATACTTAAAGATATTTTTCACAGTGTTATTTATAGGAGTAAAACATTGGAAACCACCTAAATGCTCAGTAAAGAATGCTATGCTAGCTAAAGATAGTAAGTGTATCCACTAGATAGTACATGAGTAACCCAAATAGTAAAGATTGGGATAATATAATGACTTCAGAAGTGTTTATATTATGAGTATAAATAAAGGAACACCGAATTTTATGACAATGTTTACAAATCCTACCCAAAGGAAATAAAGACTGGTAAGAAATATGTCATGCTGTTAATGGCTATGGGTGATTTCCTTCTCTTTAAAAAAAATTTTTTGTACATGCACAGATTTTATTTTTTGCAAGGTTTATAATTATATTAAATTATGGTGTAGTCTAGCTTGTATGCTGAGGTTTAATTTCACTTTTGGTAGGTTTAAATGAGTCTCAATTCTTACATTTGTCATCAGTGGACTGAGATGCTGCACGGTTCTGTTTTCGTTAGGACGACCAGACCTTCGCCGACAGTTCCCACGCTCACCGTGGCTTAGATCACTCATCCTCTTGGCAGGACCGCAGTCACTTCCTGTCTAGTCCACGATTTTCACACTTTAACTGTGAGTAATTAAGCCCTGTACCGGTTTTTAAATTGGATTTAAAAAGGAAATGCAGCTAATGGAAAGATGGAAATGTAAAGTTAGCACATGACAGTAATAATCACGTGGTGTGTTTGAAAGGGATTTCATTGTGAATCATACGAACAATGCCCCCCAAGTACATTTACAATATTACTCAATTAAGTACTGGTATATATGAGGTCCCTTTTTTGTAGACCTTAACCCTTATCAGGAAAACTTAAAATAAATCCCCCAAGATAATAAGTAAGCAAAATTTTTGTGTGGAGATCACTGGTAACTGTTGGATGAGTGGGCAAAGGAAGTTAGAGGATATCATAATAAACTCCAAATCATCAAAAAGTGGAAAATCTTTGCATAGAACTATTCAGAAATACATAATCTTTTGCAATGAATAAGGATGTTAACATGATTACAGGCTACATTTCATGCTGTGAACACAGTATAAACGTTGATAAAACGTCATCTACACCAACAAGATGTGAGTAGTCTGTTGATCCAGGATACCACCTCCCAGCACCCACTCCCGCCCCTTCTCTGCTCCACTTATTCTTCAAGTTTCAGCTGGTGTTTAATGCCCTTAAAAAAGCCGTGGAACTTAAAGTTTTAAGTATGGTTTCTGTTATGAGTGTCCACAAAACATTACAATTTTTCTTGAAAACACTTCTGAGAATAGTTATAGAGTTATTTGTTGTTTGAGTGACTTATTATTATTATTATTATTTTTACTGAGTCCTCTGTTCACCAAAGAGTTAAATTCATGAGGATAGGTACAATGTCTGTTCTGTCCACTGCTGTTTCTTCAGCATCCTGAGTGCTACTGGGCACATAGTGAGTGCTCAGTTAACATTAGATGAATGAGCATATGTGTCGGTGTTTTGTTTTTTTAGTTCACTTTTATCCAAAGCATTGGAACTCAAGTGTTATTTAGTGGGTTATTTAAATAATCACATAGCTCTTTGATTTACCATGAGCATAGCGTTTGTACATTAAATCTGACAATGCTCTTATTTTTTTAAAAAATCCAGGTTGCTGTGAAATAAAATACCAAAATAAACCAGAAGGAAGTAGGTCAAATCCAAAAGTGATCTCTCATTTTTTGCTGATTTATATTTATGGATTCATTGAATAAATATTTATCAGTTTCTGATAATGTTTTGGTTTTCATTACATCATGATTATTTTATTCCAAAAGCTAAGCATTTTCTTTTTTCCATCTTAACCATTTTTAGCAAGGATTTTATATATCCACATAGACCCTCTGCTCTTCCAATCAGGCAGCCACTCATTCTTGTGGATCACATCTCAGGCTGATTTTGTTTGGTACCTCAGGGTCTAATATACATAGGCCTTTAAAAAAATTTTGTATTAGGAAACGGAACATTTTCTCAGGTCTGTGTGATATATGTAAACATGGAGGAGGAGGGTAGGGGCAAAGGACCGTCCAACCTGCTGTCCCAGCCAGGAAGGCATTCCAGCACCCAGAAGTCAGCAGCACCACGACATGAGCTCAGCGGTCATTGCTCCGCTCATGTTGAATTTTGCTGTTTTGACTTTCTTAAGGCTCCCCAAAAAAGGCACCTGGAAGAAAGTGGTTAGAAGGCATCAGGGGGAAAACATCAAGACTTCTAGAATTTTATTTACTATTATGACAGGCAGTGAGAGAGACTGTATTCTGCTTTCCACTCGGTAGCATTTCAAGAGCAGCCATGGTCGTTTCTCAAACATATATTCCTCACAGGCAGCCATTCATTCCTCTAGACCACAGTTAAATAAGAACAGGAAAAAAATCATTGAGAACATAACTACCATTAAAAATGGTTATTTCCTATATTGTAAGAAAAATAGCTTCAAAAGTAAATCTCCTTCTTAGTTTACTTTATTGATACACTATTTAATTAATTCATTAATTCATAGCCTTGTTTTAAACTTATTTTTGACAAGTTTATGATTTTTCTCACATACCTACCTAAATGTTTCCCAGGATACTTCTAAAATTTAATCATAGACATCTTATTCTTAACATTTTTATGTTATTGAATTAAACTTATTCATAGAAGTTACATTTATTTTGATTTGCTTTTCTGATAAAACTGGAATTTTCTACATATTTTTCATAATGTGGTATTTTAGAAGTGGATTAGGAGCACCCTGAATACATTTCTATTTTTACATGGAGATGTATTCACAAACGACGTCAGCTTATCTATAGAAATTGTCCTGTAATTTTTCTTTAACCTCCTTTTAAACTTCTAAAATTACAAAGGAGAGATATCAACCCCAACAAAGAGAAAAACAGTGCCTTCAGTAAATTTATGATACAGAGAAGTGAAGTTGTCTTTAAAAGGATCATTAACACCCTCATAGGTATGAGAGAAAATATTACATCCACTAAAAATAAAAGCAGAATGCTAAGAAAAAGGAACACAAGATAAGAAGTCTCATAAACTTAAAATATGTTAAACTAGAAAGGTGAAAAACAAAGTGGAAAAAATCACAAAGAAAGTAGACAAAAAAAATAAAGAATGGGGCAATAGGAGAGAAAAGATAAGATATTGAGTCGATCAAAAAGTCCATTACATTCTCTTCCATAAAAGACGCATTTTTCATTTTCTCCAATTACTCTATTGATTTGGATATTTTGGGTATGTTGGCTATCTTCCGTGTGGTATAACATTGATTGTTCTCAATTAATAACTCAATTTTATCACTGTCAACTTCAACTGGTCTACCTACCAGACCATGGACCATCGCCCATCGAGAAATCACCAGCATGAAACTTCACAAACCACTTTTGATATATTTTATTAGTCATAACACCTTCTCCACACACTGCACAAATCTTTCTTTGCATTTCAGTCGCATTTTTAGCCTTCTTGAAATAATAAAGCATATTATGCCAAAAATATTGCATTTTCTTTCTTCTTCAATATTAAAATGGCTACACAAAAATTCGCCAATTTTGATAAGTTTCTTTTAAATGCACATTGATATGACATCTCTCACAGTACAATCTAACAAAATTGTTTCAAATGAAGTTAAAGACAACTAAGTGCTACTAGAGCCATCACGGGGAAAAAAAACAAATGAACTTTTTGGCCAACCCAATATTTAGAAAATCAGTTCAACAGAGATTATACCTGGTTAGTGAGAGTCTTAGGATAAGAGAACAGAGAAAGCAGAAAAAGGCCAGAAGAGAGCAGGTTTTCAAGGCCCACCCAGCAAGACCTGTTGCACAGCTGTCTTCCAGAGAGACTTTCCTTCACCCTCTTCCTGTGTTGATGCTCATGGATCCCAGACCCTGGGCCTTTCTCTGCTTGTTTCAACAAAAGGGGCTCTGGCTGTTGTGACTCAGTGGATTGAGTGCCAGCCTGTGAACCAAAGGGCCACCAGTTTGATTTTCAGTCAGGGCACATGCCTGGGTTGCAGGCCGGGCCCCTGGTGGGGGGCATGTGAGAGGCAACCACACATTGATGTTTCTCTCCCTCTCCTTTTCCCTCCTTTCCCCTCTCTCTAAAAGTAAGTAAATGAAATCTTTAAAAAAATGAAAGGGAGGTGAATGTTTTGTCTTTGTATTTCTGAAAATGGATTTCTTTTCCTCTTAGTGAAAGCTTTGAGTGGTTATAAAATTTTAGGTTGAAAATGACTTCTGAAGTGATTGCACTATTATTTTTCAAAATCTAATGCTGCTGTTGAAAACTTTTTGTCTTTATTGTTTGACTCCTCCCACTCCTTTGAAGTAATCTTCTCCATCACCACTAACTACTTACTCAGCCCCAGGAACTTCTAGGATGTTTTTAACCCCACTGAATTTTGTAATGATATGCCTACTTGTGGGTCTTGTCTTATTTACTTTATAAGCTACTTACTGGGTGGCCCTTTTAATCCAGGCACTCATCCTCTGTTCTGTCATATTGAAGGAAGAAAGGAGAGATTCCATCAGAAAGTCTTTGAGAAATAAACACAGAAAAGAATAGATAGATTATTTGCTTCGGTTGAGCACTTCAGAAACAAACTACTAATAGAAATACAGCAGATCTCATAGAGCTATTAGAAACAATTAAGGGTGGTCATAGAGAAAGAGCAAATAAAAAAACAAAAATAAAACATGAGTCAATTAATAATTCCAGGGAAGAAATTGAGCAAGAAAAGAAACATTTTTATAGTATACCTATTCAGTTTGCATGAGCTGTATTTACATAGTCTTAGTAATATAAATACTCACTATTGACATAACTTGAAGTTCAGATGTAACTATATAGGGAAAATGGGGTGAGGAGAAATGGGTGGGTATGGAGAGGTCTAAAAATGATAAATCAGAAAATAGCAATATAAGCTTCTTTTATTTACAAACATCGAAGTAAATACAGAAAAATAAGTCTAAAAGAGTTGATTGTGGTTGACTGTAGGGAGCAGGATTGTGGGATTGGGAGGGATGGGGCAAGAGACTGCAGTCTTTCTACAATATGTAGCCCTTTGGTGCTACTTGATATATTTATCATATATATATTCCAAGGCTAAAAGAGGAATTTTATTAAAATAAAATGCTATTAAGAAAGTCCCAGCTTTTGTGTCTGACTAGCAAGTGTTTGATTTTGTTGTTAACTTCTGAACACGAAAGGCAGGGGTTGGAGTTTGGAGCAGATGGACCTGGATGGGGACATGAGGAGTGGACCACTGTAGGGGCTGAGGCAGGCATGATGAGTTCATGAGCCTGCAGATGGGCTCCTTTTCTCTCGATTGGGGTCTGTACTGGATGAGACCCTTTTGTCTATGCTGCACACACTGAGGCATTCATTCTGCTGACTTCAGTGCCCTGTCAAACTGTGACCAAAGCAAAGCGTAGAATCACTGACCATGGAAAAAACAAAGGAAATGGGAAAATACTGCATAATTTGTGGTCTCTGAAATGATCCAGCATTAATGAAAGTTTGTTTTAAGTAGTAATTTATGTCAGCTTTGTATAGTTCAGGTCAATTCAAGAAAAGGTAGATTCCTTCTGCCAGGAGGAAGAGGAGAAATGTATAAATTATAAGTTTATATTACCATTGGAAATGGGAACACAGAAATCCATTATTTCGAGCCATGATTACTACCAAATTTATCCTGGCTGGCTAGAAGTCATGGCCATGACTCAGGACACTCTTTTAGAAGACTTGGATTCCATTACCTTTGGTCTGTAGACAGTGGGGGCTTAGTATGAGAGACTCATAATGCCAGCTTTTGAAACTGTCATTTTTACTTTTTATAAGTAGTGACTGACCACTAGTCTCCCATGTATAGCTCCTTTTAGGCTAAAGGAACACACTTCAGGACAGGCCTTAAGACCAGACTTGAGTGAGGTCTGTAGTGATGTGACGACTTCTCCAGTTCTCGTGTCCTTTGGGACTAACGTGCTTGATGCTTGTGGAGTTGGTACCTCTAAACTGAGGTGTAAAAAGACATACTGACTGCAAATCTTCTGTAATTCTAAAACTGTTGTAAATGATGTTTATTGTAGTAAATAAATGATCCCCAAAAGACCCGACTGATTTTTCATAGGGGAAAAATGTTATCTGAGGATAATTATAGGCATTGGAAGTGAATCATGCCTATTAATTTAACCTGATAGTCTCAGAAAAGCAAATCAATGAAAGTTGCTAAAAAAGAACTCTATTTCACTTCCTCACCTCAGTTTTGATTGCTATAAAAGGAAAAGAAAAGTTAAGTATTCTCAGTTCGTGTGATGAGGTACCTGTTGTGGGAGTTTTAAGTCCCTGGATGAAAAACAGTTTCTCCACAAGAACATCACACTCTTTTCACTTCTGCATTGAACTCAGGATCCACCCAGCTGACTCTGAATAGAGAGACTTCGCATGTAGTCTGTCCTCAGACTTGTAGAATAAAATGCCACGGAGTTATGGCAGGAAAAATGGTACAGTACTGATAAGAAAAAAAATGTTTTATTTTATTTTGGGGGAATGATTTTTTTTATTTCATGACAGCATAGCCTTTCTGTCTCTCCATTTTATAGGTTCATTTTACATGATAGGGATTTTTTTGTGTGTGACTGTATTTTCCCTGACCAGTTAGGTGCCAGAGATTTTTATATAATTGAGTTCTGATTATTGCAATTTGACAAGGTACTTTCCAGAAAGCAACTGAAAATTTCCCAACGGGCTATCTCTTTAAAATTCTGTAAGATATTTGTTTGTTCAGACAACATTTACTAAGAGGTTATTCATGAGGCTCTCTGTTTGGCTCGGAGGGTTCTAGCAGTGAACTGGACAAACAGGGTCACCTTATCTCATGGAGGGAATAGGTAGTAAAGAAGTAAACAATTTAACGTGGTGATTGGTGGAATCAGGATAAAATGGTAGAAGAAACCCGGGACAGGACTGCTACTTTAAATTAGTGATCTGGAGATGTCTTTCTGAGAAGGTGACCACTGAGTTGAGTGGGACCCGAATGGCAAGAAGCAGCAGCTGCAGCAGCTGAGTTGAAACTGAACTGGAAGAGGGAGCAGTACAAGCACAAAGGACCCAGTGAAGAAAGGGACATGATCTAGAGAGAGGGGACACCAAGCAAGCGAGTGAGAGAGAGAAGAGGAGAGAGAGAGGAGGTCCCAATGGAGCTAAAGTCAGATGTTTGGATTTTATCCTAAGTTTGCTGGGATGCCACTGGGGTAAGGTGGCGGGGGGAGGTGTGGATAAGGAGGAGAATGACCTAATCTGATTTAGCTCTGACTGTGATGTGGAGAAAGGGGCCAAGACGAAACAGGGAAAGAGAAGATGGTGGCTTGGGCCCGGGTGATGGTGATAGAGATGGTGTCAAGCAGAAGGACCCGGGTGAGTTTGGAGGCATAACTATCAGAACTGACTCCTAGATTGGATGGGTGAACAGGCAGGACATGGGAAGGAAGGAACCAAGATCTGAGAAACTAGGTGACTGAGTGTGTCATTTTCCAAGATGGAGAAAAGCACGGGATGGGCAGGCGTCCGAGATGAGAAATCACACAGGAAGATCTCACATAGTTGGAACTCACAGGAGATGTTAAGACGTGGTAGAAAACAAGCAAACGAAGATTCCAAAGCAAGACTCAATTTCCTTTTGTGTAACAAAGTATTTTCTATAAAAAGGAGTTAAGATTTCTCCCTCTAAAATTCTATGTGTGCTTTATATCATTATGTACTGACCACACACATCTTCCACTCTCTGATACTTCAAATCCACCTCCCCCAAATTAAATCACATAAACTTTTTTAATATAGTAAACTGATTAAATTTATTCCTACATTGAAGGTCTGTTAGGCCATGTAAAATTTACAGGAAACTAGATGAAATCAGTGATTTCATGTAATTCAGCCCAGGGATTGCGTTCAACTGAGTTTATTTCTCTTTCTCCCTCTCTCTCTCTCTTTTTTTTTTTTTTTTACCTTACCAGCGTTTACCACAAGACTATCTGCTCCCAATTCACCTTCAATCAAGGAAGATGCGACAAGATTGCCAATGGATGGAACAAGTCTACGATCCAAAAGGGAGGAGTACGAAAGCAAAAAGAGCAAAATGTAATCGGTTGCTTTACCTGAGTGTTTTACACATAACAGCACACTGACCCTTGCTGCACCCTGGCCCACATTATCAAGCAGACACGTCTGAAGTTTGCGCTCTTCAGCATTGCCAAACATCAACTAAGATACCAATATGGTTGGTCCTCGTGAAAGATAAATTAAACTCATCCAAATAATACCAGCTCGTGAATGGCTTACAACTAACTTATTGGCAACGTACACCAGCAGAGAAAGTGAGATTTTCACTTTGCATTTTGTTTTTCAGGTGTGGTCAGTCACATCTTTCCAACCAAAATTCAGATTTATAATTGAAGTCTTTCAAAACTGGCTGGCTAAAAAGGAGGAAAATGAATTCCCCTTGAGGCAGAATTTGCCAGCACTTTAGATTCAGGGAGTATTTATATACAATTGATTTTTTTAAAAGTGCTTTCTTCCTAATAAATTATCATGTGTTATAACATGCCATGGAAATATGCAAATATAATATTAGCTCACTTTATAAATGCTCAGGATTGTTAAATTCATCATCTCAGCAGTCTATTATTATACGCAGTATCTCAACATTATTTCCAATCACCCATGTTAAATAGCAATAAAGAATTTAATTTACAATGCTATCTGAATTATAGAGCACTGTAGAGAATTCATTGCACAATTTATTTATTTGTCTTTTTGTGGCCAAATATCCCATTGTGATCACTTCAGTTATGTCCTGGACCATCTTTGGTTTCCTCTGACCAAAATCATAGTTACCAGACTCCTGTGTCCATGAGATTGCTCTGCAGGACTCCTCATATCATTCGGTAATATCTATCCCCTTTCAGCATCTGAGCTTTTCCAACATCAAGGTGTCTTTAGGAACTTATCTTCATTACACGCTGATGTACCAGTGGAGAAGGATTTCTATTCAGTGCTAAATAATGGTAAACACCCAGGCACTAAGTCGTCACTGGGTCATGGTGGAAAAATTCTGCACAGAGGCAAGGACAATAAAGCAATACCTTCTTAATGTGCATCACATGTTGTACTTGTCAGATTTCTCATCTGTCATAAGAGGTTTCCATTGCCACTCAAGATATGTCTTCCTAACTTAGAATGTTTGAATGTGCAGAAGACGTGACACTCTCATTCCATGAACATAAATGCTACAGTTACCACAGAAGATGAAGCTGTTTTATGCCCCCAAATTACGTAATGCAAACTACATAACCTCTGAGAGTATAGTCATGTGTGTTATCATTTATTCATTCCCTAAACCTTTTATTGAGTTCTTACTAGAGGCCAGTCATTGTGCTAGGAAGGAAAAAAAGACATAAAAGAAGGTGTTCATGTTCCAAATTTAGTTTGGCATGAGGAATTATGTGGAAAAGGGGTGATGTGCCCAGGGTAGCTGGCAAAATTCTGGATTACAGAACATTAAAGAGGTTTGGTTTGGTTTTGTCTAATCTCAGGACTTCAGGCTGTTAATGTGCTTATGAGCACTGTGGGGTTTAGCAAGAACAGTCTTTTTCTGAAGGAGCAGCTCACACCCTGGGGCAGCACATGACCTCTGTCACCCTCTGGTAATATGTGGGCTGTTAAGAAATTGTGTCAGTATTGTCATTGCTGTTTTGACCAGTATCACAATATGTCGTCTCCTTGGATTTGGGGAGAAAATCAACGGGTTTTATGCAAACCCTACAGATAACAGTTGAAAAGCTTCACTTTAACGTATTAGTAGGAACTTCACCCAGTATATTCTGTTTAATAGGAACTGATTTAAACCATTATTAGCACACTTGTGGTCATTTACAAAAATTATGTCAGGATAGTTAGACCTGAAAGTTTAAGGTAACTCAGATTATTTACTTGGCAAACTCTTGAAAACATATTAGCTGATGGATTTATAACAGAATGGAGAGAGAGATCTTATGAAAGACCTTTTTAAATCTGAAAAATAAAATAAAGCCACTATGTCACATTATTGAAGGCCTTTCGCTACTTACTTTTGGGTGAATGGAAGTGTCTGACTTTAAATGTGAAACACAAGAACTTCAAAGGCAAAGTCAGCTTTTTGTGAGCAATGTGTTGAAATTCCTTGGCCCCCTGTTTATATGGAATTAGATCCAAGGACCTGTTTTCTTGGAAGATTTTTCCTATCTTTTGCAATCCCATAAGCTGGAGTTAGAAATCAAAAAGAATGCTAAGCAAACACTAATAGCCTGATTTGTACATTTCAAAGCCAGCAACTGTTCCTGCCTTACTCACCCTCTGGCAGCAGAGCCTGTGATATCAGCCCCATCCGAGTGGAGGCTGGTCGGCCATATTGCTGGTAGCCCCGGGACATTGGACGGGATAATAAGCTTTATTCTTACAATGAGCCTGGTCCAAGACTTAATTTGGAGATTGACTTTTTGGTTTAATAATTTTGAATCTTCTGGCCATCTTTCTCTCTAGACTTACTAAGCTTCCACTGAAGTTACTGAAGGCCACAGAGGGGAGAAACAGCTGGGAGAAATCTGGCGTGATGTTTTTTCCCATTGCGAAGGTCATCATTACTTCCTAGTTTAGTCTGATTTGAAGGTGGGAAACAACTTATATAACGTCTTACACAGCCAGTTTCCCAGAACCAGTGACTTGTCTTCTTAGCATTATACAATAGTTCACACATTTTTTACTCATGAAGAGATAAAATGTGTAGTTTAACAAAACAGTGTAAGGCATTTGGATTTAAAGGTTACTTGGTTACAAAATGCCTACCTACTTAGCTAGGAAAACAATTATGCCAATTTTTCTTCATTTTTCTCTTTTCAATTATGGTAAATACATTCTCCATTTTGAGGAAAATGTATTTTCCATACATTGGGTCAGTGATATGTAAGGTTCATTTTGAGTCACAGTAATTGTTACATATTTTCTGATGTGTATTGAACCTTATAGTTAAATAACAAATGGTCTTTTAAGTGGGACCAAACTCTTACATATAGTTATATGGTAAATTTTTTAGCAAACTCTTTTGGTAGGAAGGAGCAAATATTCCAAATTGTTTTACTCAGGATTTGTGCTGTAACCCCAACTACTTGTGATACGGTAGCCAAGAACACGAATGATCATTCGGTGATTCCTTTTCTAAGATTCTTCCACTGCTCCGCAAACAAACTGTCCCAGTATTTTCTCTCCATTCAAAGCAAAACAGAAAATTTGTGATTTTCATGGCCTTAAAATGAGGAAGCTGTCCTCACGAAAGCATCTGGTTTTCTTGGATCAAAACTAAACCATGAACCTGAAGCTGGAAAGTAAATTTGGGAAAGTTTGTATATAAAGACATTTCATGCACTAAAGTTCAATATAAAAATAGTTATGTCTTTCAACTTTTAAGTTCTCAAATATTTAGCAATAAAAACATATCAACTTATCCCTATTTGAGAAAAGAAATTTAAACCATGAAAGATTCCATTTAGTTTCACTTCTGTACAAAACACGACACATCTAATTTAAGGCCAGGAAAAGTGCTTACGTCTAGAAGCAGAACTGTAGATTCCAAGCCCCCCAAACAAATTTCACAGAAGTCTCCCGTAATTTTGATTAGTAACAAAGTAAACCAGTCTGCTCTGCTCTGGAGAAACCAGCCGACCTTCAAGTTCTAACCTTGTCTGCCCTCATTTGAGTCTCCCCTGCTCAGTCCATGCCTATGCTCACATCCTACCTAAATCAAAACCCAGCCGAGCTCACTCTGTTCTACCAGGTCAACCCCTACTGTTGACCTCCAAAGTCTAGTAGTTCTAGAGCCCACAACAAAAAGGTAGACTAGGGCATCTGCATATCTGTCAGGACCAGCCAATTAGAAATGGGTTCAAATGTCGCATGTCTTTTACTACTCTCACAGTTGAAACTCTAAGAATACCTTTGTAGGTGGGTATCTTTTCTTTGTAACATAGCTTGTAACATGTGATACAAAGTCATGTGACAACTGTGGGTGTTGAACTTGCTGCCTTGCTCTCCGTAGTAATATACTGAATTTCTAAACATAGTATGTTAGTTCCCTTTCAGGAGGATAGTTAAAGCAATATATAATCCAATGAACTTTTCCTCTCAAAAGGTAGAATCTTATGCCGTTGAGCATATAAGTGAGAAATAGGGGGAAAAAGCCACGAAAGCCAAAATAAAGCCATGCCACATTGATCTTAATAGAATAGTAATTCTAACAATAATGTCCTATGTTTTAAAAAGTCGAAGTTGCACTATTTGCTTTTCCCTGTTTTTCTCGAACTGGCAGATGCAGGGCTTTCATGCCCACACTGTCCTCTATCATCTCTCAGTGGATGCCCACAGCTTGACACCCACTCATTTCTTATTCTTTAGTAAAGCATTTTGACTGAATAGTTAAGTAAAAACAAAAGTCACAATTTAGCCCTAGATGTTGGCACTGTGTGGCACCTTAGCTGTATATGTCACTGGAAACAAAAGATTATAAAACTGGCTTGAAGCAATATTTTCTAGAACAAAATTAGTAGATGTTAAATTATCAACAGTTCAGATGTTATCATTTAAAAGTAAGAAAATATCTTATTCTGAGGGAAAGGAGGGTAATATTATGTTCTCATTAGTCACTAATTGATAGTCTCCTTTAAATTCTGATTTAGTATTTTCTTAAAATCACACTTTTTTTTTAAAAAAAGGACAAGTCATATTTTTATAGTATTAGGTTTTCCATCCAATTACAGTTTCCTTTTGTTTTTTTCCTTAGAAATTTTTTGGTTTAGAGTGTATTTTTTCAGTCATTGAAGCCACCAAGAGTTCAAATGGCTTTTGAAGGCCCCAAACACTTGGCCAACGATGGGAAAGCTTGCACTTCAAGATAGTGCATCTCTCTTTGTTTTCGAAATACTGTATTTTAATTGCAAGTATTTCCCCCAAGTGTCTCTCCTTTTATGTCTTTCTCTGGGATCCACAGTCATATGCCAAGGGTCTGGGAAGCAACTTGGTGTCCTCTGTTTGGGCCAGCCCGTGGCCTGGAGTCATGCATGTTTGTCCTGTGCGTTCATTTTAAGCCATCAGAGTGAAGGCAGCCCTTGAGAGCTGGTGAGATTAATAGATGAAACACAAGTTTTTTCTCGTGGTGTGGACTGGTCTGTTACCCTGGTGTGAAAGGCGACTTACTCTTGCTGAAATAAGAGTGTCTCTCTTCATCCCTGTGTC